ATGATGTAAATTATAGTCACGCGCGCAAAACGGCCAAGTAAACGGCTTCACTCCGGTCAATAGTCCACATTTGTGCGTTGCTGCTATTTTGATGTATTTTTATTAGGTTGCATATTTTGTGGGTTGGGTTTTTTGTGGTTTTGTGGTTTGTGCGATTGATCTGCGGTTTTTTTTTTTGTTTTTGGCGTTGTGTGTTTTTTTTTTAGGGAGTCGGTTTTTGTGTGTTTTTCGTGGGGTGGGGTGGGGGTTTGTTGTGTGTTTGGTTGATGCAAATCCAAAAACACACCAACACATAAAACCAATCCAACAGAAAAGTGCTGCAATCACCAGAAACGCCCTCGACAAAACGAAGTGCGCCAAGGCACCTAGGAGGAACCTCGACCCTGAGGGATGGACCAGTCCTGTGGACGCGAGACCTCAAGAAACGCATGAAGCAGAAGAAAGTTTGGCCTATTTTTGCGACAGAAGACGCACAGCGGTTAACGTTTTTTTTCACACGTCTCTTCTTTAACACTCCCTGGCCGTAATCTTTATAATATACAGCATAATCTTGTATCACGCGCCCATTACTACTACTATAATGTGCATACTTGCATTTAACTATTCATAGCAGAAGAATATTGATAATTATTATAACATTATATATTTTGTTATAATTATACAATACTCAATAAAAAGATTACGTCAATGACCAAAGGAACAACACGTCAACTCCTCTTTCCCCCAAACTGTTCAGCTCCTTCTTCTTCTTTTTTCTTCTGGGACTGGTCCATAGTCGGCTCGTACTCGGCCTGCGCATTCCGTTTGTCGAGTGTTTGTGTGTTTTTGAAATTGCAGCATTTTTCTTTGGCTTTGCTGTTTGTGGGTTTGTAAGTTTTTGCTTCTGCTTCGTTTCTGTGATCTTGCATTTTTCTGTTGGATTTGTTTTATGTGTTTGTGTGTTTTTGGATTTGCATCATTCCCGTGTTTGAAGCGCGTTTGCCCTTGTCGGCCACAGTACTATGCTACCCCATGCATATTTTTCTAGATCAACACTCTCTAGATCCAACCCTCTGTCCCACATAGGATCTGATCACCCTATGTATGAGTGATTGGTGTGGTACTTCTTTGGCTCTTACAGACTTACCTGTTGGCCACACTGACTTCACCTCCTACTGCTACAAAAAGCTGCGTATTACAGGTAACTAACTTACTTAAATAATTCGTCCGCACAAATGATCAAAAACGACCCTGCTGGGCTCCGTGTCTCAGGTTTATTGCTAATAGCAGCCATTACTTTAACGGGACTGAGTTGGGGGGACAGTTTTCTCGCTTGTTATGGCTCACCTGTATCTTTCTTTTTCTCGTGGTATGTGTAGACAGCTCCGGCCGTACAGTTCTTCCCATGGCGAGTCATTGTATTTTTCTTCCAATTTAAATCAGCTACAAGAGTTGTAAGGAAAATGAATGGTGTTAATGTTGCTGTAACCACAGAGGCTAAGATGCTAACATTCGCTGCTAAAAATAAAGATAACGTTACATATATGGAACACATGCACTGGTCAGATGTATTCAGAAATGGTCATATTATAAAAAGACATAAAAGAAGAAAAAGAAGCGCTCTTTGACCGACTCATTACCAGTGCTGACGAAAGTTTGTCTATCAAGCAATAATACCTTCGTCGTCTCCTTGTTATCCTGCTTTTGCTTCCGCGTCCTCCGCGTTCTCCTTCTTCTGTGCGTTTTTTGGCGGATTTCAAGATAACTTTCAAGATACCGCCACCTACCGGAGCAGCGTATGTAGAGCTGGATCTTACATTATACATCTTGATCCAGTATGGTCCAGACTGGACCAACATCAAGACTGGAGACTGGACCGTCCAGTGTGTAACATTTAGGAGGATATATTAGCAAAAATGGAATATAATATTCATAGTATGTATATTAGTGTATAATCACCTGAATCACCTTAGAATGAGTCGTATAGTTTATCTACATGCATGTCTCCTGCCATTGAGGCTGTCATGTTTCTACAGTAGTCCAGAACAGACAAACCAAACACAGGACATAGATTGGGCCACTCACGTTTTTCACAGCCACCATAGTCTCTCCTTATCACTTGGAAGAGTGAGGGAGAGTGAAGCAAGGGAGTTTCAATCTGCAACAATACCATTACATGCCATTAAATCTTACATAGACTGCTAAATACTAAGACATTCATTACCCGTCTCTGTACTTCCCACACCCTATATCAATGTGTTCCTAGTATCCCTTCCAAATCCCACCCTTGTCTAGCCTCTCTCAACCTTTGTGGCATGTTACCCTTTCTTCATTACACTGGCGGACTCGGGGGGGAAAAAAGGCCCCTATGGTAGATATAACATGATAAGGTGCCCTCTAGGATGTCCTTCCCCGACGCTTTGCTACTGTTTTATTAATTATTAATTTACAACAACAATTTACTTTACTCTACTTTACTTCACAGAAGTGTACCAAATGCTGAGATATAGGCCTACTGTATATATTTTTTAGGCTTTCTGGCATGCACTAAAATCATAAGGCCTTGCCCCCCATGAAGCTTTGGCAACCACATCCACAGCAATGTTGAGACCTGGACCCTTTCTAAGGGACACTGATACATACAAAGATCAAAAGCTGGAATTTTCTTCTTGAACCCAGAGATCATGAATTTAATTTTAGATGAATTTGACAGAACAGAGGACTAATATGTATACCTTTCCTCTAGATGGTGCCATCATCTCATCCTCAAATAAAGACTTCCAGAAACCTTGGAGGACTATGTCATATGATGAACCATTATCATTGTCAACAATTTCCCAAAAACATTCATCCATTAATACCTGCATAGTGCAGTTTAATACGCACACCATTCCTCCACGTAGAATCATGTGCTTTTTATCCAAGAATACCCAAATTACAGCTTCGTTATTGATAATAGATTCCATCTTCCGATTCCTAAACCATTGTGATCAATCTTTAGCTTCAGAATGGGTCTTTTCCTGGTTTAAAATTGGAATCACTGTTTCCATTTTGTTTTAACTTACATACCTCCCAGATATATTTAAAAAAAAAAAGCATGGATTTCATCTATCATCTCAATGTTTTAGCAGTTCATAACTTATCTTATCTTGCTCTGGATTATATTCCTATTCACATTGTACATTTATCTACCCATGTATGCCAAACAATTTAAAATTTACATTTACATTTCTTTGTATTTTGTTTATCAAAATACTTTTTTCCCCCTGTAAAACAAAATGTGCTTATATAAACATGAACCAACAAATTTCAACCAATAATACCATCAATACTAATAACAATACTCCTCAGTCTTCACTTTTAGCAACACAGAGCTAAGATTCATGCAATGTCATTGCTTTCTGGGGGCTGAACCTTACAGGGACAAGACTAAAATAAAAAGAGTATATCTTAAATAACTAAATTTTTTAAATAATCTAAACTTAAAAAATAAACATTGTACCTCTTTATAGGCTTTTATTTCTACTAAAAATGTTTTGCATTGGTTAAATCATTTGAAAAAGTATTTCATGTGTTTATTAATAAAAAAAAGTGTACCCACTGGCTTAAACCACCACCATTACCATAATGGGGTGTTGAGCCACTTGTAACTCAAAGTGCTTGTACTTGTGTCCTGAACTGACAGTGCTGTTAGTAGTGCCTGTGTTTACCTTATATGTCTTGTTTATTTCTGCATCTGTACAGCAGCATTTCCTGCCTATGTGACTGTGGATTTCCTGTTAGCAGATCCCTACACCCATTGCAACTAAAGCTCAAACTAACACATGCACAGAATAAAAAGAAAAAACAATGATTAGCAGGCACTTTTCTACACATCACTCATAGACACAAGGCACCAATACTGGAAAACACAACACTTTCTCTGGCACTGACCGCCTTAGTTCTTGGGTTTCCTAAATTAACCTAGAAACATTTAGAGAAAGTTAATATATATTTCTGGAGTTTGATTTTCTTTCAGGGTGGAGACACATAAACATACAAAAATGTATCAGGATAATAATCAGGGAAGAGTCACATCTTCTTGCACAGATAAATACAGTAGAAATATAAACACCAAGTTGACCCGCAGTTATCTTCTTAGTTCATACCAGCAGGTCCAGACCATATAAGGTCAGATATATTCAGATTGTTGAGTCATAGTTAAAAGTAAAATCTGGAGTTAGTGATGTGATGAGAGTGGTAAGGGAGGCTATAGCAGATAGTGGGACTTGACCACCTTCATAAACAACTATCCCCCATAGGCAGCCCGCCCAGCAGTTATCAGGAGCACTTCTCTTTATCTGCACTCTTTGAACATGAGCCCGTCACTATCACTCCATCAGCACCCTGCCCATTTCCCATGCCTGCTGCACATTCTTTCTGTTTTCAACACAAATCCGCTTCACTGCCCAACTGTTTAAGATCAGACAGAAACATTTTGAGTTAGGGGATAAGCCCCATAAATTACTGGCCCGACAGTTAAGAGGCTTACAAGCTAGTAGAGCCATACACAAAATGAAATCGAAATCTGGGGAACTGGTTGTTGATCCTAAATGTATAAATGATTGTTTTAGGGAATATTACGCAGAGTTGTACATGTCAAAAGGGGGGTGTCTCTGATTGGCTGGGGCGTCTGAGGCTCCCTAAATTGAATGATGCTGCACAAGAGGCTTTAAATTCTGACATCACCACTCAAGAGATTTTGGACTTTATAAAATCAACGGCAAGGCCGCTGGCCCCAATGGTTTCGGAATTGAACTGTATAAAAAGTATTCTGAGAAGATTGCTTCCCTTCCATTGAGGATGTTCAGTCATTCATTTGAAATCCAGAAATTTCCCTCCACGTTATATGAAGCCAATATCTCATTATTATTAAAAGAGGGTAGGAAGGAGAGTGATCTTTTCATCCTATTGCATTGTTGAAATCAGACATGAACATCTTTGCGAAGTTATTAGCAAATAGGGTAAATAAATATATATATATCATCTGTTATTCATGCTGATCAAACTGGCTTTGTCCCCAATAGGTTCTAATTTTTTAATGTCAGGAGATTAATGAATATAATGTATCATGGGTATAGTAGGGGTTCAAGGGTGGCTGCCCTCTGCCTAGATGCAGAAAAGGCATTTGACCAAGTGGAATGGGCCTACATGGTGAAGGTTTTTGTGGATTACAATACTTTATGCCCATCCATCTTCCTCCATCCTCACAAATCAAGAAAGATCAGTGCCATTCTTATTACACCGCGGGACACGCCAGGGCTGCCCCCTCAGCCCGTTGCTCTTTGCCATTGCTATTGAGCCTCTTGCCATTAGTATTAGGAACCACCCTTCTATTGAACCCATCCGATTGGGTAATGTGGAGCATCATATTTCCCTATACGTGGATGATGTTGTTCTATTCATATCACAGCCTGAGCAATCCGTTCCTGTTCTACTAGATCTTATAAGAACATTTGGTGAAGTTTCAGGATACACCATTAACTGGCAGAAGAATTTAGAATTTATGTCGCTGGGTGCTGATCTCAATGCTGAATTTTTGTATAATCTCCCATTCAAAATTACAGAAAGACTGAAGTATCTTGGAGTAGTTCTGCCAAAAGACCCTAAGCTAATTTTTAAGTTGAATTTTCTTGAGAAAGTGGAAAAACTGAGAAGGGACATTGAAGAATGGAGGACTCTTCCTCTTTCTAAAGTGGGTCGAAAAAATGCCATCAGAATGGTCTCCCTGCCTCTCTTTCAAAATTTACCCATTTTTTTGGCACGTTATTTTTTCAAAACTTTAGATTCGATAGTTATGCCTTTTATTTGGGGCTTCAAAGCTCATAGAATTTCAAAACCTCATTTACATAAACCAGGAGAAATGGGAGGGTTAGGAGTACCATATTTCCTGCATTATTATTGGGCAGCGAATGCTAGGGCCCTTGTCTATTGGCAGGCGGGTAACAAGATGGAAGTATCTGCTGAGACTCCCCCCTGGGTTGCCATCGAAATGAGTGATGTCAAGAACAGTTCTCTTCCAGCACTTCTCTTCTCAGGACCCAGACCCCCTGCAGTTAAGGTGGATAACATGATAGTTTTTAATTGCTTAAAAATATGGCAGCAAATTAGAAAGGGCTGCAGGGCTGCCAGACACTTCTATTCATGCCCCAGTATCGCATTCATGCATTCTCCCCATCCCTTTCGGATGGGTCCTTCAACATTTCGAGGTTAAAAGGTTTAGTTACTTTGAAAGATTTCTATATTAACAAACAGTTTGCCACATTTACTCAATTAAAAAACAAGTTTTCTCTTCCCACAACGCATTTTTTCTGAAATTTGCAGATTAGGAATTATGTCAGTCAATGTATGAGTCTCCCCTGGAAGGTAAAATGATTTATAAGCTTTTGTTGAGTCTGCCTGAATCCAAAAAAATGGTCTCAGGCTTTGTAAATATATTTTCTGAACAAGTGGTTTATGCCATGCACTCTTTGA